TGAACTAACACGTGGCGAGCAAGCAAAAGTAAATAAGTAACGCTAATAATAATAAACTATCATTATAACAGGCACTTACAGCAAGAGTTACAACTGGCATTAACAATAACGGTAACACTCACCAGTCTAATAACATTAACTATATGATGTGGTAACGCAGATCTTCTTCCCCTCTTAACACAACACTGTATTAAAAAAATGTTAATACGGAGATATGTTAATTCCAGAACAAGATAGCAACTACCTCATTTTTTTCTTGCAAATCCCTTCCAATACGTTAGTTTTATATAAGAGTTAGAAAGGCTGCCTGGTTAGCCCTACAGGACGCCTCTCTCCCCCTCCCAGCTCCTCTGACCCCCTTCCCAGCCATAGCGCTGAGAGTAGGTGCTGGGAAGGAGGGGGATGGAACAAGCTGGAACAGGGGTTTTACCCATGAAAGGACTGGTTTTGTGCCCCGGGTACTCACCCCCTCACACCTCCGGGGCCCTCGTGTTGTGTTGGGGTTTAGCCTGGTGGCTCCTCTGCCGGTTAGCTATCTTGAGGTTATCTTGAGATGATTTCGAGGCTTAGCGTCCCCGCGGCCCTGTCCTCGAGCATATCTTCAGGTTATCTTCAGATGATTTCGAGGTTTAGCATCCCCGCGACCCGGTCCTAGACCAGGCCTCCTTTTTGTTATACATCCCCAGGAAGCAGCCCGTAGCAGCTGTCTAACTCCCAGGTACCTATTTACTGCTAGGTAACAGGGTTATTAGGGTGAAAGATACTCTGCCCATCTGTTTCCCCCTCTACCGGGGGATCGAACCCAGAACCTCAGGACTACGAATCCGAAGCGATGTCCTCTCAGCTTGTCAGGCCTCATGTGTGGTTACATAATACTTTAGAAGGTTAGGGATGGGGGGGGGGGCAGACGAAGACCTGGGATGAGGACGGAGTGAAGGTTAGGTGCCCACTCAATCCGACCATCGTGGATCGAACGCCGAGCAAGGAAGAAACGGCGCCGTTTCTATACCGACCAGTCCAGGTGGAGAAGACATAGGTTTGAAGGAATTGCCTTCGATTCAGTAAAATGTCTGAAGACAGTAGGTAGACATATAAGTCGGGAAATTTAATCTCTGTCTTCTAGAGGAAGGGCATCACTTCTTTTCTTACCATCAACTGTTCTTGTCCCACCAAGCAGGTCCGCTCATTCTTGCCTCAATTTGTGCAAATCCTCACAATTCTTAGTTGTTATAAACAAAATATTTCCTTTTATTCATTTCACATGACCCTAAGGTTATTTTTGTTACTCTACTTCTCTCAGATCAATATCAACTATTATTTTGTACTCGATTATCAGTTCTCTCTCTCTCTCTCTCTCTCTCTCTCTCTCTCTCTCTCTCTCTCTCTCTCTCTCTCTCTCTCTCTCTCTCTCGCCACACTTTTCAACCTTTGTTATTTGAACTCTTGAATCCTCGTAAATATGATTACCCTTTCACCTCTCCCAGGGCGTTCACTAACACACCTGGCTAAGCAACATAAAACAAAATGTAGACAAAGTTTTATAACCAGAAATGATTTCCTGGTGATTTTTTGTTAATCGTAGCCTAAAGTATGTACTTTATATTAATACTGTCAAAAGAAATGACGGTCAAAGGCCTCTTGAAAGAGAATAGTGTAGCTTGCGTTTTTCCCCGATTTTAATTGTACACTGTCTGACACCACGTATGGTTACACCACACTGTGTGACAAGGTCTAGTGACACCACATTGTGTGATACCGTCTAGTGACACCACACTGTGTGACACCACATGCAGCTCCACTATACCTAACTCAATGATTAATAATGACAAAAATATTAAAGATATCGCGACCTTCTGATACATTGAGCACTTATGTTCAAGGCAAAAGATAGTAAGAAGAGTTAACAGAATTAAGACTTAGGTATTGGAGAGAGTGACTGGTCGTAATCCAGCAAGTCACTGTCGACATCTCTCTCTCATCTTCCTCTTGTGTCTCAACATCTGCAGCTTCACGATGGCCAAGAAAAAGCAGCTAGGACCCTTGCGTGCGCTGGGTTCGTATGTATCACAGGCGGGCATACAAGGTTTGAGTTTGTTCTGTTTAAGCTTCCGGGATGGACGGCATAATTAGGAGGAAGAGACAGTGGGATTTTCGACCCTATCAGTTTTTGCATTCTCCGCTAACTGTTATGCCCCGACAACATAGAGAGTTGAAAGAATATATTGACAAGTTTGACTTGATTTTGGCCTCAGTGGCTGTTAGTTTAGTCAAGTGTGTTAGTATACGGCTCTCTTGATCACATGCTGGATGCTGTCATACAGCATCCAGCATGACATATTCTTCAACCCTCCAGATATTCTTCTCACTGCTCTCGTATCATACACAAACTTAATACCACTCTCAACAAGCACAGAGTCGAACCCTTTATTGTACAATTTTATAAATTACCCAATTCCATGCATTTTTATGCACATCCTTAATAATAATATTAAGTGGCACTTTGTAAACATAATAATAGTTTTCATGATAATATTAATGGTCCATCCTTATAATAATGTACGGTCATGTCCAATATTAATGATGGTGCTGTCAAGTAATAATAATGATTCTGCCCAATAATTCTCATGAACCAGCCTAATAATAACAACAATAATAAAAGCACCATCACCACTATAACCTCTTCGTACTTTACTGAAATAGAAATATTATATACTTAAATGTATTTACATTTAAAGCATCAAATTAAGTCAAAGAGTTGGAGCCTCCTGAAACAGCCACCACCGGTTGCTCACTGTTACCAGCCAAAGAAGATCAACAACTTTTTGCTACCTCGTCGCCTCGTGCACAAGGTTCGGGCCAATTAATTCCACCTTGGAACTTGACGCCACGACTGACCGGCCTCAATTAATTTCAAGGAGCAAAGCCTGGTCTGGTGAAACAGTGAATCACGATAAAGTGGAGTCGAGGACCCTGATCTCGGCGTATTATCGCGGATTTGATCGCGTTCGCCGTATCATATATTTCATCGTAATAGTGGGGCTTTAATCAGCACTGCCAACTTTTCCTGGAAGCCTCCCAACATATACAGATTATAAAATGTTACACTATAGACCGAGTACAAAGACGTGAGTAACAGTACCGGGTGGCCACAATAAACATCCAGGGTCACCAGAGAGGTCAAGCGTTAAAAGTTTGGAAAACATCGGGAAAAAGCTTTCGGGAACTTGAAGACATCAGCGAATTACTTCAAGGAAGTTTGGAGACATCAAACTCAACCTTTGCCACATAAAGTAGACTGTGGGTGGGTGAGTGAGGGGCTACCAGGAACACCCAGCACGGGACGTCGACGCCCGCACCCTCTGGACACCTCCCCAACAAATCAAAGATCAGGAAAGCCGTAAAATCACGAAGGCATGACTGTACGTTGTCCAGGTCTGAGGCACTATTCAACTTGTGCACTTTGTCACTGGGGATGGGCTCGGGTCACTGGGGACGGGTTCTGGTCACTGGGGACGGGTTCTGGTCACTGGGGATGGGCTCGGGTCACTGAGGATGGGTCATTATGTTAATTTCGCGAGCCGCTACCATTTTCTAGTACGACAATTTTTGACCTTAGGTAGATTATACGTCAGAATGCGACGTTCTATTATGAGGACGGATTGCCAAGTTCGTGTGAGCCGAGGGCATGGTTAGGAGGGCCCTTTCCAGCCTGTTACGTCTGCCTCCGTTACTTCCCTGGGTCACAGTGAATGACGGCCGGGATGGACCTCTTGGCTACAAGTGCAGTACATATCCCGATGAGTTTTTCTCCCCCTTACGCCGCCAAGTAAACTAATTTGCAAGTGGCACGAGTAGTTTGGTTAATGAATGATGTGGCAGCAGACTCCATATTAAGTTGAGGGTGGACTGACTGTGTTACACCGTGTGTGATGTTCCTTGCTGTCATTCTTCTCTCTCTCTCTCTCTCTCTCTCTCTCTCTCTCTCCTCCAAGTGTAAGACAAGTACACAGAATTGATGTTGTATTTATGTCTTGCAAAAGTTCTTCGGTAAACACCCGGCATCATCATTGCATATCTTGAATGTCTGCAACATCTTATGCTACTTGGATCATATCAATAATTATAACGAGTAATATTGTAGAGAGGTGAAGACAGCGTGCGGGAACCACTCTGGAGTACCGGTCATTTAATGCACTCGAACAGCAGTTTATACTGGAGTACTGCGGTATGCAGGCCCTAGTTCGCTCACCCAGGCATCCACTCACTCACCCACCGACTTATCCACTCACCCATCTCTCACACTCCCACCCCCATTAATAACAGATAATATCTGACTTATAACTTTACATGCAAGAAACCACATCTGTTATTAAAGACTTTTTCGCCACTCTGAGCTGCTCACTTGACTCTTCTCGACACCCCAGAACCTTGCCGGGATGCGAACCGTGGTCTAACACAATAAAAGTTTGTTCAAGGGCTTCATCTTCCTCTGTAAGAATACCTGACCCACAAGACAACTGTAAATGCATAGGAGACAGGGCAGCTCCTCCTGTTGGTATCTTAAAGCAACGACTGACAACATTTTGCGGATAATGTTTAACATTTTCACAGGAGCGTAAGCTGTGGAGTGTGTTGTGCAACACATTATAAGGAGTTGTGGTTATAGGCTGTATTGAGAGCGTTATAGCTTACTGTTTACTGATTTCACCCACTGTTTGGGTGAAAGGGTTATAGGCTGGTTACAATTCGTGGGAGGATTATAGATTGGTATTTTTGCGACGGTTGGGTTTTGATGGCCTGTGTACTGTGCGTTGATATGTTATAATGTTGGTGCTCAGTAACGTTATGGTGTACTGTGCCGGCTTGAAACACCCTGGATTGTTGTGTACAACTGTAATGACTCTTAACACATTCATCCACTTTGTCGGGTGATGGCAGCCATCACCTCATACCCCTGCCATCCCTACACTGTGTGTGTATACATGTGTGGTGTGTCGCAGGGTGTAGGATGCGACGGCGTACTGGGCTCGGGGCTGCGGCTGGACGCATGCGGCCACTGCGGCGGGGATAACAGCAGTTGTCGGGTGATCGCCGGTGTCTTCTCGAGAGCCAAGATGCCATACGGCTACAACGTGATCGCCACTCTGCCACGAGGAGCTGCCAACATCACCATCCAGCACGTCAAGGCGTCCACTAACTACCTCGGTTCGTACATCGTCCTCCACTAACTACCTTAGTTTGTACATCGTCCTCCACTAACTACCTTAGTTTGAACATCTTCCTCCACTAACAACCTGAGCTCGCAAATATTCATTACAAAAAAAAGTAAAGTAGAAGTTTTAACGATCGTTGAAACTGGAAAAAGTTTCCAGTTTCAACGAAAAAAGTTTCAACGATCGTTCCTCTTCACTTACAGTATCTTGATTTACAAATATCCAAAATTGGTTTTCATTTACGATTTTTTCTTCTATAAATTGGTTATAAATCTTACCACTAGTTTATATGATTTACAAATATTCATCCAAAATTGGTTTTCATTTACGAATTTGTCTTCTATAAATTGGTTATAAATCTTGTCTCTAGTTTATATTAGTTCATACCTCTTCCCAAGGCACTTAAATCATACTCATATCCTAAAGTTTAAGTCTTGTATATAGACTTTCGCATGGGAGTTAGATCTAACTGGTATAGTTAGGTCGTGCGCTTGAGCCGTGCTCTCTCCGACAGCTCTGCGTCATCAGGGCGGAGAGTTCTTCATCAATGGCAACTGGGCTGTGAATGGGTCTGGCAACTACCAGTCTGATGGCACCACCTTCACCTACCAGCGACCAGAACACTTCCAGGGGGACAAGGTGACGGCGGTGGGTCCCCTCCAGCAGCCTGTTGATGTTATGGTAAGTTACCCTCTCAAACCCTCCCATAAGTCCACTACGGGCTCACCATAGCCAGTGTTACTTGGAACTTTTTGTTCCTGGTAGCGAATCTTTAACACCACCACCACCACCACGTCCACACCCCACCACACCCACAACACCCATTGCCTCAGGTCACCCGGGAACCAAGGATAAGCGTCCTGAACAAATCCCCAAGGGCTGTGACGAGGATTCGAACCCTAGTCACGGCCCTTTGTGGATTTGTTCATTTGATGCATCACGCTATTGTGAATTGTGTGTGTAATAAGCGTCCGGTTATAATCTTGTTACATGATGGCTTCTCCTTGCTTCCCAAGGCCAGAAATATTTAGCTTGTATTTCTCGTAATTTGTCTAAATAATCTATATTTTACTGATGAGGAACTATTGCACTTCATGGTGATATATGTGTTATACGCGAGGTTTCTTTCTTGCTTCAGCTGTTCTACCAGTCGACCAACCCAGGCATCAAGTACGAGTACCGGCTGCCCATGTCACCCACGTCGTCGGCGCCACGGGTGACGGGAAGCGTGGTGGTGCCGGGGTCTCCACAACGACGCCGTCGACCAGATAACCCACTCAACCCCTTGGTGCCAGGAGGACCAGCCTCCAGGACCCCGCCCTCTGGTACAGTCTTTCTCCTCTTCACTCTTTTTCTAGCCTTTGGAGTGGGCACTTTCGAGCCCCGACTTGTATGGTAGCCGGCCGGGGCTCTACCACTGGCACTGGTGCCACGCACAGGTTAAAGGCAGAGTGGGTAACAGTTTAAGATAGGCCTATATATACCGTGGTTTTGAAACAGGACATCCAATCAAGCCGAATTCGCGTAATGAGTTCTTTTCTATTTTTGAGGGGATTGACATTCAACACATGCATTTTGTATATTTTCAACCAAAAATAACCTTGCACAACCTTACCTAACCTAAAGAGGCTTATTATTTTTAAGTGCTGCCAAACTATAATTCGGCCAATATTAAGTAATTTACATAATCATTCGAATATATTAATATCGTGATTCATAACTTCCCGGGAGGACATTGCGAGAAAATATCAAATATGAATCTCGTTTATCTTTCCCTACTGCTTGCCCGGGCCCACTGCTCTCCCAGGCAAACTGTTCCACGGGGCCACCTGCTCTATTGGGCCCACTGCTCCCCTGGGCCCACTGCTCGCCCGATACCCAGCAATTGTGTTAATAAATAAAGCTTTCCTCGTCAAACTAAACGAGACGAGTTTCTTCCCTGTTGTAATGTGGCACAGTTGTCATTCAAGGCCAGAACCACCCGTACAGCCGTTGTCTTCATCTCACACTGTTGACAAAAATGTTTGGACAGCGTCAATTACCCGCGCCGCCGCCGCTTTGTTTACACCCGACACGTGGCACCGTGACGTCACGCACAACGGCTCGGTTGCCAGCCTTCCAGTTTTGTTTTTATTTTCTACCCCAGACGAGGCCATTCATGTACAGTGGTATTCTGTCCTCCGAAGATAGCTATAGAGATCTGTTAGTCTACGTGCAGTGTTGTAGGGTATTGAGCACTCAACTACAGGCGATTTAACGGCTTTTACAATGTCAAATTGCAATACTAACTTATATATATATATATATATATATATATATATATATATATATATATATATATATATATATATATATATATATATATATATGTAAATTATATGTAAAGGAAATTCCTGTTTCATTTTTCCTCCGTGGTCTGACATTGTCACATTCTTAATCACGTGTTTATTTTCGTGATATACACACACACACACACACACATATATATATATATATATATATATATATATATATATATATATATATATATATATATATATATATATATCGTCTGTGCTATGAATACAGGTTAGACCTGTTCCACTATATTGGAACATTATATTATATTATATATTATATTATATTATATTATATATATTATAACCTGTATCTACTATATTCTCATGGAGGCATCTTGGCAGTCATCCTGTGAAGATGTATATGTGAACTGTGTATTTAATGATAATGATGGTAACAACACGGCAATTGCTATCAAGGACAATATAATATTTTACATTGGAGTTAAATTATTGATGTAATACAGGAAGTCACAATAACGGGGGGGTGAAAGAACCCACACACACACACACACACATGGAGCGAAAGTGTGTCGACGTTTCGCTCCGTCCTCGACCCTTATCGAGTCGTGTCATATAGATCTATCCGTAAATAGTTAGATTTTCACACATAAGATGCATTGCTCTAGTGTATAATACTGTCTTTGTCCACACACACTGTACTTCATATCGTCTATATTCCCATACAAGCTGAACGGCCAAGTGATACTTGTGTCCAAGTGGTATTCAGGTAGCTACAACACCTGCCAGTCTACTGACTTTGTTACTTGTGTGATAACAAGTGTTGCGACACAGCCTGCGACACAGCCTGCGACACAGGCTCTGTCTCGAAGACAGCCTCGTCTTCCGTGTCCCTCATTAACGACTGTGGGACACGTCAGCCTGTTTCACCCCTCACTTGTTGCTTCTCACTAATGAGGTGTCTCTGGGAGGCCCCTCACCAGGGAGACAAAGTGTGCCTCAACACTTTAATATTCTCCGCTCATTAGTTGACCCTTAATATTACTGTTGTTTGTAATATTACTTGTAATTAGAGTCTGAAGTTTCTTGCGGGTCACCCCAAATATAAATGTTTATAATGTACTGTGGTATATATTGATATACAATCTGTCGGTTACAATTTAATTTTTTGACAATCAAATTCAAAAATTTTAAAATCATTGATTTCACGTTAAATATTAACTTTATTATAAATGCAATTTTATTTATAATAATGAGAGCGTGCCGTGTACAGTCTCCAGCACTCAGCTTCATTAATTTACACTTGCCTGAGTTAAACTCTGGCTGCCACCTGTTGAAGTTTTCCTGTAGTTTCCCCCCTTGTCTACTTAGTGTTTGTCAGTGTTCAGCTGTACTAATATAATCATAATAGTTTTTTTTGCTGACCAACTATTGAGAGGAAGAGTCTATCCTTTTATGAACATTTATATATATCAGGAGCAAGACGGGTAGTACTAACGCCTGTGGCACCACTCGTGGCACCTCCTTAGACAGAAATCTCTTGACATTTATGGCTCACATACTCCGTCGTCCACTGCGGCACCTTCCCCGTCATTACTGTCTGTTTCTTCTACTTGTACACTCGTCTCCTGAGGCTACGGTGCCGAAGCCTTTCTCACAATCCCCCCAAAATATGCAGTCTGTCCACCCTTCTCTTTCTTGCCAGATTTGTGTCGTTCGGTTATAAACCTCAGCCAGGTTTGCGAGGCAGGATTTACCATCCGCCGATGGCGTGTTATAAAGTCCTTTCTCTCCAGATGATCCACCGGCCTCCACTAAGCCTTCTCTATCTTCTCTCCTTGTATGCGAGTGAAGGACACTGGTCTGTTTAATCTGTCTCGTTTGTGTTTAAACCACATAATACGTACTCTTCAGCTCGAAGTAATCAAAGGGGTTACCAACACATGCGGCCAACCTTACCTTGGTTAAGCCAAACGTAACTTTGGGAACACGAGTTGCAAGTGTCAGCAGTTAAGCCAGCACTGTTCCAGAGCAGTATACCATGTTGCAGCTTTCCTGCAAGAGGTGTAAACTAGAGCTGAGAGTACCTCATGTGCTTTGGACGACATACTCTCTTTCAATATTCAGTTTCAACGTCGTTAAATGCATAATGAATAACGTGTCAGTTTATGTAATCTATCCCAGGTCCAGTGAATGACGCTCGCTCCATCAACGGCAACTCCGTCCTCTCCTCCCAGAGATGGAAGGAAGAGGAGGAGGAGAAGAAGAAGAAGCTGGGAGGAAAGAAAGAGCGTAGGAAGGGCATCAGAGATAAGAAGGGAAGGAGGCCGAGGTATGAATGGAAGGTGGCGGGCTTCAGCAGCTGCTCGGAGACCTGTGGCGGAGGTGAGTGTACTGAGGTCCTCTGCTGCTACAGCTGCTGCTGCTGTTGCTACAGCTGTTGCTGCTGCTGAGGCTGCTGCTGCTGCTGTTGCTACAGCTGTTGCTGTTGCAGCTGTTGCTACAGCTGTTGCTGCTGCTGAGGCTGCTACAGCTGTTGCTACAGCTGTTGCTACAGCTGTTGCTGCTGCTGCTGAGGCTGCTGCTGCAGCTCGAGCTGTTGCTGCTTCTTCTTTCATATGTATTTCTAATTTCTACTAAGTGATACTATTCATACTATTAATACTGAATTCCCTGATTAAAAATACAAGAACTATCAATCAATTCGATCAACGTTCAATATTTTTCTAGTTATGAACATTGTTGCTATGGGTGTCGCTTCTACCGCTGCTCTGACACTAACTCTTTCAATATTGATGTTAAGATTGAGGTCTGCTTAGTGGCTGGTTCTAAACTGGCGAAATTGGTTCTAAAACTAATTTCGTCTTCGGACGTGAACGTCTCTGCGCTCTGCTGCTGAGCAAGCAGACCCACACCGGACACTAAGCAGACCTACACCCGGCACAAAGTAGACCCACACCTGGCACATAGCAGACCCACACCCGGCACACAGCAGACCCACACCCGACACAAAACAGACCCACACCCGGCACACAGCAGACCCACACCCGACACACAGCAGACCCACACCACAGAGATGGTGGTTATGTTATGAGCAGCGAGTAACCGCATGCTTCACCGTGACGTGTGACAGGGACGCAGACGACGCGGGCGGCGTGTGTCAAGAGGAAGAGAGGTAACGAGGTCCCATCCAACCACTGTCGCGACCTGCCCCGTCCCGCAGAGGAGACTGTCCGCTGCAACCTTCGACCCTGTCCCGCCACGTACGTCACCCCCCCCCCCCCTGTCTTTCCTGTCTCTTCATCAAAGCTGGTGTTAGGATCACCATCAGTGATCATCACTGGCACTATATATATCATATTACAAGCCAAACCAATGTGTAGGTTAATATAAGATGCCTGGTGGTATAATGCATTTAACACACGCACGGATTTTGCCTCGGCTGGCGTGGGTGGCGAATGCCGGCGTGCAGGTGGGAAGCGGAGGCGTGGGGGCCGTGCAGTGTGACGTGCGGGCTGGGCGTGCAGACCCGGCAGCTGACGTGCAAGATGAAAGTCTCCCAAGACCACTTCGTGGCGCAGCCAGAGGGCGCCTGCCTCGCCCCTCAGGACATACCCAAGGCACAGGTGAGAGACCCCCAGCTCCTTGTTTTTGGGGGAAGAGGGAAAGGGGAATGGCGAATAGGGGAAGGGGGGGGGCTCTAAAGTTAGAGGATTTACCTCTATTGGAGGCTACAGTTTGTCGGAAATCCTCCCTCTCTTCCCTCACATAATGGTGCAGCCGCGCCTTCAGAGCGTGACGTTTTCTGTTCGTTAATTACTTCCCCTACCCTGTATGGGGCCGACTGTGGGATCTGTGTACGGTAAATGGAGTAGGTTAGCAGGAGTCACCTCCATGTTTGTCACGTAGGGAGAGTTGTGATGGCTGAACACAGAGATCACACTAACGTGATGCATCAAATGAACAAATCCACAAGGGCCGGATTCGAACCTGAGTCCGAGAGCATCCCAGACACTGCCTTAATCGACTGAGCTACGACAGGGTTAAAAGAGTTCAAACCGAAGTTGATGGTGCGGTGTTGGTAACAGTGAAACAGGAAGTGCTTGGAGACTGTAAGCGCCAGCCATAATGCTGGGGGAAGGAGGGCACAGAAAGGACAGGATGGCTGGGAGTTTATCCCCGCCCAAAATCACAAATAATCCAAATCTAAGCTTAAAACGTGTGAATGTGCGATGGTTTATACAATAACTGTATCCTTATTACTGTGACTTAATAGAGATGTTTGTGCCTGGTGCTCTGAGACATTACACACAATCAAATGTTTATATACACAAATAATAGTTTCGTTGATCTTCTTCCCCTTCCCTCGCTCACAAATGTAACTCCTGTGTTGTGTCCGGCTGTAATATCCGGCCGGTGTAGGGGTGTGGGGGTGTGTGGGAGAGAGAGAGGAGGCGACGGAGCCTCGCCGGCATGCAGTAGGGGAGCAGGAGGCACAGTAGTGCAACATTACATCACTATAGGATTACAACAGTGTTGGTTTACATTGGGGTGCGTGAGGCAAAGGTTTCTGAGCGGTTACGGAGACTAGGTTAGCTTAGCTAGTCCTAGGTTAGGGTTAGGTTAGGTTAGCTAGTCCTAGGTTAGGGTTAGGTTAGGTTAGCTAGCCCTAGGTTAGGGTTAGGTTAGGTTAGCTAGCCCTAGGTTAGAAGGACAGCCAAACTGGCTGTTTTAAGGTTCATAGAAACTTCAACAAGAATTAAGCTTCCTCCAGAATGTTTAGTGTTCTCGGTGGATATAGTTAAAAGCAAATTTTGTGTGTGTGTGTGTGTGTGTGTGTGTGTGCACTCGCCTATCTGTTACTGCATTATCAGGCTCTAGCTCTTGGATCCCGCTTTTCTAGCCACCAGTTGTCTAGTCCCTTCACTCCTGACCTATTGTCTTAACATACCTGATTTTAAAGTAGTGAATTGAGTTTGTTGCTGTGAGTTTGTGCAGAAATTTCTCATCTCGGACACTGTGTAATGTCATAGAGCAGACATGGATCAGGTATGGTAGCTGTATAATGTAGGTGTACCGACCAGTATGGTAGCTGCCTAATATAGGTGTACCGACCAGTATGGTAGCTGCCTAATATAGGTGTACCGACCAGTATGGTAGCTGCCTAATATAGGTGTACCGACCAGTATGGTAGCTGCCTAATATAGGTGTACCGACCGACCAGTATAGTAGCTACATAATGTAGGTGCTTCGGAAGTGGTAGGAACAACACTACAGTGTGACAGGACCGTTAACCCGCGCATCACGGGCAGATGATCAATCAGAGGAAGGTGCAGGTGCCGTACATTACTTACCAACACATCGCAGATGGGGAATATAAATCACCCCACTGACGGGATTCCATAATGTTGGTCATTAACGAGTTGCCACCAGTGCCGAGGAGAAACTGTTGCTTACATGATGGTTAATTTACTAGTCGGAGCGCCTGCCTGCTAGGTAATGCCGTCCAGGTGTATAGATTAGTAATTAGTTGTGCTGTTTAATATATACAGTGACCTCGGTCAGTGGTCCTCAACTCATGGTCCGTGGAACACCGGTGATCTTTGTTGTTTCTAGAGCAACTTTGTAACATATAGGTACTAGAGTAACCTTATAACATATAGGCCCTAGAGAGAGAGACAGAACACTAGTGTATCATGGGCCACCAATTGAGAACTGCTATTCTAGGTTACTTGTGTAAAGGAGGAAATGTAGATGTTTATCTCTCAGAATGTTTGGTGATATGTTTATTGTTTGTGATGTGTTTATATGTATGTATAAACACGATGTACTGAACGGGGTGAGAATAGCTTGAGCTACCTCATCCCTTTGTGTGTATTTTACCTCAATAAACTTATTTCAATTTCAATTTCAATTCTAGGTGTATAGAACAACAAACAAGTTTATCTAGAAACTACACAAACTTGTCCTCGCACAACCATTGGTAGAGATAAAACAATACCTGGTTTACGACACGCGTGGCCACGCTAGACAGGCTGCTTCACGTACCTATAACACTAATGTGAATTTGCTTTTGTCCCTTCCCCATATGCAGGTGTGCGAGTTGGCGGTGTGCAACTCTGCGCCGGCGTGGCGGACGGGGGAGTGGGGTCAGTGCTCAGCGCAGTGCGGTCTGGGGACCAGGCATCGCTCCGTCACCTGCGTCACGGCCGCTGGGGGCGTCGCCGATCATCTCTGTGACCCCAGGGAGAAACCCAGCAACCAGGTGACCTACCTCACTTTCTCTGGGGGCGCCGCCCTACATCTTCCGTGCTTGTGTGTGTTATAGCAGTCGTGAATGGGCAAGTGTGTGTGTGTACACAGGCGAAGGGGGCGTGTTCGCTCGCAGTCAGTCGCAGGTGATGAGAGGCGGGATCCATGTGCACAGGGGTCAGACCTCCTCAAGCACAGTTAGACGAGTACACGTGCACACAACCTGTTGAGAGGCGGGACCAAAGAGCCAGAGCTCAATCCCCCCGTAAGCACAACAAGGTGAGTACATACAAGCATCAACACACACACACACACACACACACACACACACACACACACACACACACACACACACACACACACACACACACACACACGCACACACACACACACACACACACACACACACACACACACACACACACACACACACACACACACACACACACACACACGCACGCACGCACACACACACACACACACACACACACACACACACACACACACACACACACGCACGCACGCACGCACAAGCGTCACTACACACAAAAACATAATGCATGAAAGCGCAAGCATCACGGACGCACGAGCCTTGCCACGCATGGAAGCACACGAGTCGCTCATGGACGCACGGCCACGAACAAACACACGCATGCAGCTTACACGCACACATGCATACAAAAGCATAAAATAACAAGCACACACACACACACACGCGCGCAAAAACACACACGCGCAGTTGCATAAACACAGTGGCCTGCTCTTATACTGGCAGTTGCATAAACACACACAGCCATCCATTCATATTGCTTGGCTGGTCCCGCCACCAACATCAAGTAATGGACGCCATCACTTATTACCTCTGCTGCAGCACCACAGTCTGCAGCACCACAGTCTGCAGCACCACAGTCTACAGCACCACAGTCTGCAGCACCACAGTCTGCAGCACCACAGTCTACAGCACCACAGTCTGCAGCACCACAGTCTGCAGCACCACAGTCTGCAGCACCACAGTCTGCAGCACCACAGTCTACAGCACCACAGTCTGCAGCACCACAGTCTGCAGCACCACAGTCTGCAGCACCACCGTCTGCAGCACCACCGTCTGCAGCACCACAGTCTGCAGCACCACAGTCTGCAGCACCACCGTCTGCAGCACCACCGTCTGCAGCACCACAGTCTGCAGCACCACAGTCTGCAGCACCACAGTCTGCAGCACCACAGTCTACAGCACCACAGTCTGCAGCACCACAGTCTGCAGCACCACAGTTTGCAGCACCACAGTCTGCAGCACCACAGTCTGCAGCACCACAGTCTGCAGCACCACAGTCTGCAGCACAGCAGTCTGCAGCACAGCAGTCTGCAGCATATGCCGTCACTTAGCCTCCATGGTTTAAGTAGAAAGAAGTTCTCCTCATTTCATTAACTGCTGTAATTTTATCACAACCTGTGTCTGACTCACATAAATATAAGGGAAAAACCGTGCAATAAGAAAGAATTGCATAGTCTTTGAGATAATATATTGTATATAGATGCAGTTGTATATCTACTCGCCTATTTGCACATGCTGGGATGAGTTATATCTCTTGGGTCCTGCCTCTCAATTCTTAGTCAACTGGCGTACAAGTTCCCGAGTCTATTGGGTTCTGTCATATCGCTGGAAGCTGTGTATAGTGTGTGTCCAGCTACTTTACTACCGTTTCTGCAAGCGACAAAAGCTGCTCTATTTTATTAATGGTAGCCATGTTGTTTCTATCATGTTCCTGTTTTGGTCTTCTGTCATTTGGTGTGCATGTGTGTGTGGAGAGAGTTGTAACTGTGTGTATTACAGGAGCTGTGTGACATGGGCTCCTGCGCTACGGACACCTGGTTCTTCTCCGCGTGGGAAGACCTCTGCTCTGAAGAGTGTGGCGACGGAGTCCAGCGACGCCGCGTTCATTGCTCCGGCGACGCCCTTGACAACCAGGTCACCGAGACGTCGTGCGACCAGGAGCAGCGGCCCGCCACTACCAGGACCTGCACCTCCGACCGGGGCTGTAGCGGCAAGTGGTTTACAGGTGCGGACACCGGCTAACAAGACTGCTTAATTATACAATATCCCAGACTTATTTTCATGTGAATGTATAAAAGTTGCGTTATTAAAAGGGAATATATTATTTATTCCGATTAGAGTCACTTGAGTGGTAATATATGGTATGAGAAGTTGTTTCTGGTTGAGGACACGTGATGAGCGGCCAGGTCACCGTCAGGTCCATGGGGGGAGTGCAGCTCGCAGTGCGGTCCGGGGCGCCGCACGCGGTCTGTGGTGTGCGTGGTGTTCCGCGGACGCTGGCGGGTGACGACGGACACATCGCAGTGCAAGGGCGACCCGAGGCCGGACTCGACAGAGGCCTGCAGCAGGCCGTGCAGCCACGAGTGGTACACCTCTGAGTGGTCTCAGGTACGTCGGCCTCCCACTCCACCCTCTCTTACTCCTGCATCGACCCTCTCCTATCACTTTACTCTAGCATTATCATCCTCGACGATGTCTAGACACATTAGCTTTCCATTGTGACCTAATGCTCTCTGTTCATTACTTATTTCTACATCTGATAACACAAAATAACTCATTAGTTAAATTTAATTAAGTGTAATAGTCTTAAGTCATAGGTAAAACAGCGGTAATGTGGTGAAATGACTTGTCTTAATGTGTTCATGATATAACCTTATGGGGGTTCAATAAGTAACATGCAGGTAACAAAAGGTAGTTGATTTTATATTTTCTTTGATGGGAAATTCTATCTGCAGAGTATAAATTGTTGAGTTTATGGTGTCAACATTATAATATAGTATTGTTGTGCGTCAGTGTTCCGCGTCGTGCGGCAGCGGCGTCCAGCGGCGGGAGGTGAAGTGTCTTGACGACCGTCAAATACCAGCCCTCGACTGTACGTCAGCCGCCAAGCCCGACACCCGCCAGCCCTGCAACACCCAGTCCTGTCACCACGGTCAGTCCCACTCACTCCTTTCACTATGTTGCACATGAAGACTTTCATGGGTTGGCCATTTTGTTAACACAAACGACACTGGGGAGATAAATGGCCCAATGGCCGGAACATAATAACACTGTCGATTAAGGCAGTGTCTGGGATGCTCCTGGACGCAGGTTCGAATCCTCGTCACGGCCCTTGTGGATTTATTCATAATAACACTGTCCCCACCTGATAGACATTACCCCATTACGGATCTACAGATTGACTTGACAACTCAGGTAAGTTAAAATTATCCTAGACCCAAATTGACTAGCAAAATTAAACAAATAATTATAGTTAAACACACTTTGAAACAAAGTTCATCCACTTGGGCTAGTTGGTAAAGCGACTTCATTCAGGTCGGCGTTCAATTCCCGATTGCCCAAGTGGTTGAACACTGTTCCTTCACACCGTCCTCCCTCCTATCCCAACTCCTTGTTGTCAGGCCTTCCATGTACTGGATAGTTATTCTGGCTTGGCGTTCCCTCCTATTAATAACCAACTTTACTCAGAAACAAACAATATGCTAGATTTACTTTATGCATTAAGTCCATCTCTCTTGTTTTGATTTGCAATATCTTTGCAACAACATTTCTTTACCAATCTCAGAACAAGCGGACGAGAGCGTGAGCAACACCTCCACAAGAACCGAACTGCCGCCGCGGCCAGCCGACCCCCCACCCCCGGGCGACGCCCCCGGCGACGCCCCCGACCACAAACCTGCAGGTAATGTGGTCCTTGAGGCCGGCTGGCGCCCGCCCCCTCAGTCACTAGAGACTTCTAGTACAGGCTTCCCGTCTTCCGATGACAGTCCAGACTATGACGAAGACACACATAGGGATTCCGATTGGGACTTGTCCTCTGGGAGGGACCTGGCGGAGGAGTACGGGGACGTGCCTCCCAGCAGGGCTCCGCCTACCCCAAGCAGCAGGCGGCGGCGACCCGTCTCTCCTGGGCGGCCATGGCGACCCGGGCTGTCCACAGGTTGGCCAGGAAATTGCTGCAAGCTTATAGCATTCATGCTTATCACTCTTAAATATTAATATTTTTTCGTTTTTTTTGCATACTGCCTGGGAACCACCAGAAACAAAGGCTTCGCTGTACAACTCTGATGATACACAGTGGCTTTTCATTGCGCTTCAATATCGAAAGAAGCTTTTTTAAAACCAGGATTAATTCATGGATTGTAAAAGAATGTATACTTGTGCTTGCATTATGACTCAAAGCTTGAAGGTTTGCATCAGGAGGTTATGGCACCATAGGCTTAAATGAACGCTTGTACCATGAGAGGCACCCATTGAGCGCTCGGCACTGACATACACACACCCACTCCGGATCATCCTACATTATTACATTTTAGGTCCATTAATTTATCATCAAATATTCATGGTAAGTTAAATTGAAAAGTAACCAATCATCCTGTGCAGAATCCATGAAACTTTTGCAAACTCTAAATGTTTAACATCGCCTTTGTTGATGGTTTAGGGGACGCAGAGCACGAGCAGCTTCGTTATAATGTGGTAGCTGGAGAGTCAGTGTGGTTGGGAACCTTAAATGCTGTTTAGCTTCTAATTTAACACAAAGTTTCTTCACTCTGGATTTTAATTACAACGCAATTATAAAGTGTATAATCATTTTGTATAATAATGTGCAAAGCTTTGTGTGCGGGAGCTGCGGTCTTCCGGGCTTGGCGCAGTCTTGATAATTCGTGTGCGGGATCTGGCTTCTTATCTCACGCGTCTTGGCACAGCCTTGTCTTGTCTCTCACCCGGGGCTTCTTTACTTGGTCTTAAACGTTACCAATACTAATACAATGAAAATAGTGAAATATCTGAAATAAGTTCTCTGGCTAGAACCCCGGTAACTGATTATTTTTCGTTCCAGATTCTTGCATCGACAGAATGAAGAACTGTCACTTGGTATACAAGGCTCGCCTTTGTCGCCTTAAGTACTACAACAAACTGTGTTGTGAAACTTGCACCAAGAACCAGTGAGTTCTTAGTTATTACCTCAAGAGTGAGTGATTGGTACTGTGCACGTCAATCATCAATCATCCTACGCTGGAAGAACCTACCAGAGACACTGGTGACGAGATTAGTATGATTCGACACAGTGCAATGGTCCAGGAGGTGGGATTATATGATTTTGAGTAGTGTGCCGTGAGTAAGCCCTGACTTGCTTTCAAAGTGAACATTATCTAAGAAGCAAAAAAATAAACACGCGTCTTCATAATACAAAAATTCTCACGTTGCATTATGGGGACATTGGTGTCTGCTCAGCACTGCCCCACGTTTCCATCTTAAACTCAGAAAATGACAAAGTTTTCCTCGTCTCTGTCTGGTGAGGAATATGATGTCATGATTGATGCTAGTGACAGTTAAATTCTACTCTCATATTATCGTCCGAGCCTGCTTAAACCTTCACGATATAAAATATAGACTTAGGTTTACAATGCTCTTGGCAACACGGATGAGAGTATGATTATGAATAGTCAAGAATTAAGTCTTTTTTGTATATACGTTTTGCTTAATATAAGTGAATATTTCAGCCCTTATCCTAACAACCAATATAGATTTTCTGCAAATGTAAATACTTAAACTTAGAGCAGAGTAACATTGTTCAGCTAGAGTCAGTAGTCATAGAAAACAGAGGCACTGTGGGTGGCACTGTAGGCGGCACTGTAGGCTAAGGTGATAACAACCCAGTTTTTGCTACGAGCTTCTATCTTCACTCAAGCACTGCCAGTTAGGTTAATTTATGTTCACTCTGAAATTCGATGTATATCACAGGTATTATGTATTATAACATTCATCCTCCCTTCCTTCCCCCTCCCCGTCATCTTTATTGTATAAATATAACTAATATGTTTATATAAAGATTTTCGTTGTTGTGTATCTAAGGTTTTATTTCAACTTGAGTAGAGTGCCATGGGCAGCACGTTGATAATGATATTCATGTTTTGGTCTTGCGTTCCTTTTCAGTATCAGGTAGCATACCTTGTTGAATTACAACATTGAATTTTGTTCCCTTGAGTCGAGTATATGCGAAGGTCATAGTTATGAACACGAGCATCTGTATTTTATGTTCAAATACTTTAGGATTTGACACACACACACACACACAACTAGGTGAGTACACACACACACACACACACACACACACACACACACACACACACACACACACACACACACACACACACACACAACTAGGTGAGCACACACACACATAACTAGGTGAGCACACACACACACACACACACACACACACATCCAACTCTTGGGATCCAAGAGTCAATGCTCGATCCTGCAAGCACATATAGGTGAGTACACACACACACACACAACTAGGCGAGTATACACACACAGTGAGTATACAACTGAATACACACACATACACACAGTCACTGTAAAATTAAATGAAAGATATGCGCCTGCACTCTAGGGTTGGACCATATGACGATCAGACAACTTTAAATAGTCGAGTGACATGAAATCTAATAATATGCATTAAAATGCTGGAGGGGTTAGTATACTCATTGTTTATTAATTTGTAATTTTGTTTGTACTATCCTTCTTTATTTCTGGGTGATAATTAATGAATCATGCTGTATCGACTTGAAATATAAATCACTTATTTGTGTTTGAAAAATACATTTGTGTATGTTCATAAAACAAAACTTGATATTAAAATAATGAAGTGTTCTTTACTAAGGACGTTTTGACTATTAATTTATTTTCTGTTGTAATCACTATATTTCTGCACTGATAACGAATCACCAGAGCTTCGCTAACCTTGTACTGGATAGTATATATATATATATATATATATATATATATATATATATATATATATATATATATATATATATATATATATATATACCTGTATATGCGTTTGACTGCTATAGAGTTATATAGACTTCTGTATAAATTTTAATCCTTGTAACTGACAAAAACAGTTTTCAGATCGTTATATTTTGTACTTATACGAGGAGGTATTTGCATGAGGTATATGTATATTATCACAGGTATATGTATATGCTTGCCATGCATATACATATACATTTCATATTGTTTTGCGCCTTGTGGCCATATACTGAAAGTTTGTGAACATGTTGATGATGAGTGTTTTGTGACTTCAATAATGTTTCTGCAAAACCATTTCACAATGTTTATACATATACTTAAGAACAGTGTCATACACAGAATATGTAGCATTTTAGCCATCTAGTGGCAGCTTTAATATGGAGTTATATCTTAGGGGGGGAGGGAGGCGTTTGTGTCTGTTCCGTATCCCTGAAATGATCTTGCAAATTAAAAATGAATAGGTGTATATATTGGTATAGTTTTATACAATACTATATAAACTTTATACTTTGTAGCCGCCTATTTGTGAGGGGAAAGTGACATTATATCCAGCACGATAGTCAGCAAGTTCTTACAACCAGGTCAACTATATATATATATATATATATATATATATATATATATATATATATATATATATATATATATATATATATATATTTATATATATATATAATATATATAATCTGTATATATAATATAGGGACGCATTACAATGATTACAGAGAATCTCAATAATAAATCAAAATACATATCCATATGTTAATATTGACAATTAACATGTAATATTAATAATTACATGTCATTATATCTGGTGACGTACTCTATTATAGTTTTTGTTGGTTATAATGACTCATTATATTACAATTATATACAGTACATTTATTCAGTTATATATATTATGAATAATAACCGATATATATATATATATATATATATATATATATATATATAATATTAATTTTTATACACAATTTTTATAATTATATGTAATTATACATACATATAAATATAATTATAAATATATATTGAATATAACAATTATTTAAATTCTGGTTACAAATGGCTTAATACTAATTGTAGATTATTATTATTTATAATAATTACACATGATTATAATAATTATACCCGATTAGGAGTGGTGGGGGAGCATTGGGGAGTGAGGGAGGGGATGGGGAGAGGCAGGGGAGGGGGGTAGGGTGTTACACCGTGCAGATACACTCTGAGGTGTGGGCTTTAGCTCGTGGTCACACCACGCGGGGGGGTGACACCCAACCACTAACCCAAAGACTATAATGCGCTGTATTTTGTATCGCTGAAACAAAAATTTTACATGTACTGTACTTTTAAATAGTGTAATTTGCCTTGATCAATATAGATAAAGTGTCAAACTGAGAATAGTTCGGCTTGGTTGGATTAGTTAGCTTAAAATTGTATTAATTGTCAACAGTAGTGTATTTATATTGTGGTTGTCTAGGCCTCTATTAGAGACTACTTAAGGTATAGGTTACACACAGAAATTCCCCAATAGTGTGATGCATCAAATGAACACATCCACAAGGGCCGTGACGAGGGTTCGAACCTACGTCTGAGAGGATCCCAGACGCTGCCTTAATCGACTGAGCTATGACACGGTTAAAAGAATTGCAACCGGAAGTTCTACTGACCTTACTTGGGTCCTGCAGCCTCTCCGAGAGACAAATCCGGATCCGAGTAAGGTCAGTAGAAGTTTCGGTTGCAATTCTTTTAACCATGTCGTAGCTCAGTCGATTAAGGCAGCGTCAGGAATCCTCTTGGACGTAGGTTCGAATCCTCGTCACGGCCCTTGTGGATTTGTTCATAAGGTATAGGTACTTGGTCACTCTTGCCTTGGTCACACCCACTCACAGTGTTGATACACCTTTCAACACCCATGCGTGTACACACACACACACACACACACACACGTACGTACGTTATTGTGTGAACTTTGCAATATTTCGAATCTCACAAATTTTGGGATCACAGAAAGCATCTTAATTTCTCAAAGTTGTTTGGTCAGTGTTGAATGGAAAATATCAGCGATATTCTATTTTAGAAAACGTTATCATTCCTTATTAATCCTGTGGTATATTTTGGCTACAATTAGTATGGGTTATGGAGGAGGGTTTGACGTTAATACCTGTCCTAGTGCCACCTGGTGAGTGCCGAGCGAGACGCTCCAATGTGCCACAAGTTGGCCATTATGGGTTTAATAAGATCAGTATAGTGACTGATAGTTCCTAGTACTACAGCTTGCTGGTGGTGTGCTCTGATACCTCAGCTCTCCTGTGTGTGTGTGATGTAAACACTCTTACAATTGACCTCTTTCTTGCCCTCTTGTTGCTTCCCATTTGTTTATATATCTGCAAAACTGTGCTTATAATCTCAGTCTAGAATATTCCCTAATTTATTTAAACTTATAAACTTTGCTTAGTGTGAAAGGAGAGGTTGAGCTGATTTATAAGCTGTTGCCCAGATAACTCTTGTGACGGTGTTCTCGATAATAATAATGCTTTTCTGAGTATTTTTACAAATATGAAAGACTTTCTTAGACCCCAAACACCTCTGTAAGGTACAGCAGCTGTCGACTGTAGCCAGGGCAGTGTATGTGGATCAGGGTTACATAGGTGTTTGTTTCAGGGTTTCTGCGGTAATTCAGTGATGGTATTCACAAAGTACTTACGAGATTTGTACGTCTTATCTCTATCATGGCAGCGTTTATGTATAGTATTTTCTAAACAATTTACGAGTTCTGATGTGCTACGAGGTCGTCCATAACAATAATAAACTAAAGTTCAGGAGGATCTCATAGCACTTCAGAGGTCGTAAACTGTTTAGTAATTCTATCTAAGCTACCATGATCGCGGTAAGAGGTACAATTATCGTAAGTGAACACGCAAGTGCGCTGTGACTCCGGCCTTGGGTGACAGCGCTGCCCCTGGAGCCTCAGATGACCAGTCCCTGTAGCACACTTACCAAAGATGTTCATCTCCTTATGGCTCTCGTGCTGATGTTACGTGTCTGGCCCCGCGGTGAGTATAAGGTGATGCTGGCCACAGCACCTGGTGGGCCAGCGTGGTGGCCGCCGCCGCACCTGGTGGCCGCCGCCGCACCTGGTGGCCCAGCGTGGTGGCCGCAACACCTGGTGGCCCAGCGTGGCGGGTCAGTGTGGTGGCCCAGCGTGGCGGGCCAGCGTGGCGGGCCAGCGTGGTGGGCCAGGGTGCGGAGTGTGTTAGCACATCTCGCGCCTCGTTATCTCGTGCTCTGGATTTTCTGAGGAAGCACCGAGTCTAGCTTATAAGGAGGCCTGGAAATGTATATATGGAAGCTTCAGAAGCAAGTGTGACAAGCGACGGGTTTAACACCACTCCAAATTTTTCTCAGTCGTCTGGTGTTTGAATTTCCGTCCAACTTTAGATGCAAAATTCAATATACCGATGGCGGAATACGAAATCTGTTTAGTCTTTGTCGAGGAGATGACAAAATTTATATGTACTTTGAATGTGTATGCTCATCTCCCAGACAATACTTGAACCTAGAAGAGTAGGCTTGTACATGTTTTCATTATTGATACTAACGATAGATTATTGCTGTTTGGGCTGTCTTCCATGTGCACTACTTCCACTGTGATCTCTCCTGCTGGGTCTTCCTGCTCTAGTCTAGTGCTGGTGCCGTCAGCGTGCTGGAGTCGTCCTTGCAATCCCCCAGGAGAGGCACTACTGGCTGCTGACTCTATCCCCAGTGGTTGTCGACACCTCAGTTTAGAACCCTGGGTACAAATTTATGTTGATCACTGAAAACGCAAGAGTGATGATCGATCCCAAGCGCTGGAGTGAACTGATGTAGCTCACGGGCGAAGATGCAGCCACACCTTACTTTCAACCGCGGTTACCAGAGTCACTTGATAATGCAAACCTCGAATACCTCCCAAATTCCGTGTTTAAGTGTGCAGGTCTGGAAGAGGAGACACTAAACAGTGGAAGTGACCAGACTGTGGTAGCGCCTTGCCCCTGAGGAGCACTTCAGCCCTCCGGCGGGAGGCAGGGACGACTCTTGTAATCTCCCGGGATATATTACGGCTCTTGTCTAGTTCTTAATGAAGCTCTCTTCCTCATCTTGTTGCTCTCATCTTCTCTTTCTGGATTACATGTGATGATTTTTAGAGTAATTATGTGGGCTACTACTGTAAATATTGCTGTATAATAAATGTGTATAATATACTTGAGTGTTTCTATGTCCGTAAATACACAGACAGTTCTCAGGATTTGGAGTCAAGGGAAGTTGGTTTGTAAAACCAAAAGTGAAAAGAACCTTAAG